TGTCCTTGAGGAGAAGGGACTTTGCCAGGACTCCTTCTGTGAGGGGAGGGGTCTTTCCTGAGGAGAAGGGATTTCCGTGAGGAGAGGGGACTTGCTGGGAACCGTGCCCTGAGGAGAGGGTCCTCCCTTGAGGAGAGGGGCTCATCTCTTCTGCCAGGCTGACACTGTCCTTGAGGAGACGAGCCTTGGCCAGGACTCGTTCCCTGAGGAGCAGGGTCTTCCCTGTTAGACTGTGCCCTCTCTGAGGAGATGGGACTTCCCTGTGTCTTCCCTGTTAGGCTGTGCCCTCCCTGAGGAGATGGCGCTTCCCTGGGCAAGGAGAAAGAGAAGGGTCTTCCCTGCCAGTCTGAGGCGTTCCCAGCCACAAGGGCACTCCCCAGAGTCCATTCCCTGAGGAGAGGGATCTTCCCTGCCCGGCTGACTCCCTCTTCAAGGAAAATGGACTTGCCCCAGGCCCATTCCCTTAGGACATGGATTTTCCCTGCTGATGCCATGCCTGAGGGGAAGGGACCCCTGTGCTAGTGCTGGCCCCCAGACCTTGAGGAGCAGACTTTCCCTGCCTGGGGCAGATCCTCAGTCCCTGCAGAGAAGAGGCCCCTCTGCCAGGCTGATGGGATTCCTGAGCAAAGGCTCCTTCCCTGAAACCCCTCAAACACTTATGTCACTTATCCCCACTCCCCTCCTCAAGGTGGAAAGATCCTTGCTCATTCCTCCTCTCTCTGCCAGTGGAAGTGGCCACCAAGGCCAACCCGTGGGACGGGAAGACGCTGAAGGCGGAGAGCGTGCGCTCCCAGCTGGACACGTCCCTGGAGAGGCTGCAGAGGAAGAGTGTGGAGCTCTTCTACCTCCACGCTCCTGACCACAGCACCCCGGTGGAGGAAACCCTGCGTGCCTGCAATGAGCTGCACAAAGAGGTGAAGTGCAGAGTCCAAGGCTGGACAATCCTTGATTCCCTCCTTCCCACTGCTTTTTTTAAACCAGGGCTGCTTGTTGTGCCCGTCTGCAGCTCTGGGTTTGTGCAGCTCTGAGAAGGGGAGCAGAGCTGAGCAGCCACTGTTCTTTGTGTGCTCACGTGGTGCACTTTGTTCCCAAGAGCTCTTGGAACATCTGGACTTTGCTTCCAGCCCTGTTAACAGTCTGGGTTAAGATTAGTGCTGGTAATGGGTAAAGAATTCCTGAGTTTCGTTAATCTGGTTATATCATTTAAACTAGAAGGTGTGAATTCCAAATGAACAGAAAATGGGAAATATTTTTGTCATGTCTTAATAATTCATGGTCTGTCAGAAAAGATGGACAGGAATTAACCCTTCGGGACTAAAATTTGTGTCCTTTTCACTGTACCCATCTTGTGCTGTCTGGGTCCAGATGAACTTTGAAACACTGGCTTTTATTTCTCTGCAGGGGAAGTTTAAAGAGCTTGGCCTGTCAAACTACGCCTCATGGGAGGTGGCAGAAATCTGCACCATCTGCAAGTACAACAACTGGGTGATGCCAACTGTGTACCAGGTGAGGGAGCAGGGAGGCTTGGATCTGGGCTCCCCAAACCTGGCCCCAGTGTGTCAGATATAAACACAGAAGGAATCTGCTGCAGTTAGTCTGGGAAGTCACAGAGTCACTGAGGTTGGGAACGACCTCCAGTCCCAGCTGTGCCCAGTGCCCACCTTGTCACCCAACCCAGAGCTCTGAGTGCCACGTCCAGGTCTCCCTTTGACACCTCCAGGGGTGGGGACTCCAACACTTCCCTGGGCAGCCCCTTCAAGGCCTGAGCACCCTTTCAGTGAGGAATTCAGGAAGCTGAGCGAGGTCACTGCTCAGGAACAGCTCAGTGTGTTCATTACTGGAGCCAGCAACTCCCCTACCATGGAACTTCAATCATTGGCAGCCCTTCAGCGAGTCTGTTCCCAAGCAAATCATCACCTTGTGGGACCTGAGGCCGCTCTCTGGGGTGGGCATTGCCAGGGAAGGGTGGGAAGGGGCAGCTGCTGTGCCCTGAGCTCTGTGTGAGGCCTCTCCCACCCCGTGCAGGGAATGTACAACGCGACCACGCGCCAGGTGGAGGCCGAGCTGTTCCCCTGCCTCAGGCACTTCGGGCTGCGCTTCTACGCCTACAACCCACTGGCAGGTACAGGGCCAAGGCTTGGGACAGAGCTCTGAGGAGTGGGGGCTCTGCAGAGCCAGCCCAACCCCGAATCTGCTGCTCCCTTCCCTCCCAGGGGGGCTCCTCACCGGCAAGTACAAGTACGAGGACAAGGACACGCGCCAGCCCACCGGCAGGTTTTTTGGGAATGACTGGGCTCAGGCCTACAGGGACAGGTATGTCCTGAGCTGACAGACAAACAGCAGTGGCTGCATGAAAAAAACACTCTGATAGTCAGCTGAGAGGGAGCAGAACTGACCAAAGCTTGGGGTTGTGTCAGCACACGTGGTTGGGGCTGTGGTGTGTGACTGAGCTCTGCAGGGTGGGCTTTAGGCTCAGCTTCCTCACAGCTCCCAAGGGAGACTGCAGAAGTCCTCAGAGGCTACAAAGAGTTGTATGAGGCTTCTGAAAGCCTTTTGATTGGAATATAGATGTACCACTGAGTGGAGATCCCAAGGGCAGTTACAATGATTTTTTTTTTGGCAGGTACTGGAAAAAACACAATTTTGAGGGAATTGCACTGGTAGAAAAAGCTCTGAAAGATGCTTATGGCTCCACTGCACCCAGCCTGGCCTCTGCTGCTCTGCGCTGGCTCTACCACCACTCCAAACTGCAGGTGAGAGCTTGGCTGGGCACTGCTGCCATGACCCACAAACAGGGAAATTTCAGCATAGGTGTCTTTTAATCCCAGGGCATTGTGGCATTCCAGAGTGAATATTGCTGTACAGACCCTGCTGGGCAGCGGGAGTGAGGCAGCTCTGCCTTTTCCCATGTGGTCAGAACTGGAAGCTTCAAGTGGAAGATTTTAGGTGCCAGTTCCTGGGGTCTTGGCTTCCCTGCAAGGAGAGGACTCACCTTTCACTGGACTAGGAACCTCATGCTTAGAATTCCTGATGTTCCCTAAATGTTCCTGTAGCCCATCATAAAGTAGGATTTGGCAGCTTCTGAGGATTTGGGGTGCCTTGGGCATGTCCTGGCCTAGTGAGCAGAATTTGTGGTGTCAGTTGCTTAATTCCATCAGAGCACATCAAGGAGATGGGTGAGATCAGCTCCAAAACCCCACCCCTGGTTCCTGAGTGGGTTAATCTGAGCTGTTTCTGCTGGAATGGGAAGGCATTCTGCAGAAATCTGGGGGCTTTACTCAGCCTTTGACACGAGCTTGGGAACAACAGCACAAGGACAGAAGGAGTTCCAGCCCCAGCCCAACAAGGACAAAGGTGTCCCTCAGTTTTCTCCAGCCCCAAATGCAGCTCTGTGTGTAGCACTGTCCCTCAGGAATCCCAGCTGCACAGCAAACCCCAGCCTGGCCCTGCTGTACCTTTCTTCAGGAGTTCTTTAGTGGAAAGAAATGCTTTGTTTGGCCCACGGTACTCGGGAGATGAACTTCCTTTTGGGATCAGCAACCCTTGCCATGTGTTCCCAGGGTTCTCTCGGAGATGCAGTGATCATTGGCATGTCCAACATGGAGCAGCTGGAGCAGAACCTCAACTACAGCGAGGAGGGGCCCCTGCTGCCGGCCGTGGTGCAGGCGTTCGACCAGGCCTG